GGGGGCTCCTTATACAAAGAGAAGGGGCCTAGCCCACCCCCACCTTGTCCTCCAGGGAGGAGAGGGGGAGTGAGGCTCATTCCCTCTCTCTCTCCCTCAATCCTTCTCCAGGGTTCCAGTCTCCCAACCCACAGAATACTGCAGGATTGGGCCAGGGTACCAGTAGCAGGGTCAGGGCTGGGGAAAGGTGCCGGGAAGAGGGCAGGCAGGCGGTCGGTGGCAGCTTCGGAAAGCCCTCGGGATGTGGTTAAGCCCCAGGCCGCTGCTTCCCAAAACCAGAATAGCCTTCAGCTTACACAACCAACCCCCACAGCGAAAGCTGGGGCTGTCCCTGCCCCCTTTCTGGGCTCATTCCTCCCCTTCTCTCCCTCCACCCAGCAAGTCCAGTGCTGCCCCTCCCTGTTGTTCTTTATCCTCACAGCCCAGTTCACGGCCTCCCCTCTCTCCGACCTCTCACTTCCCTTCCCTCTCCTAACCAGAATGGGTGAACCCTGCCCAGGAATGGGGGTCATGGACTGGGCAACAGGGCACCCCATGGGAGGGCCATTTCCTGGGATCTCAGCCCTCTCATTCTCCTGGGCCACCCCAGTCCACCCCACCCCAAGGTTGCTTCCCCCATGAGTGAGACAGAAACTCTCCCAGTTTCACAATCGCCTGTAAAAACACAGCCACCCACCCTCACACCAGAAACCTTCACCCTGACTGGCTTACTGGGGGCAACAAGACCCCTTCTCCCTCTCCAAGGCCTGCTAGCTTGGAGTGTGGCAGAGAGAGTCGCCAGGGAAAGAGAAGGGCTAGAGCGGGCCCCAGTTGTGAGGGAACTCGGGGACACTCAGGGATGCCACAGGCCCCCTGACCAGCCTGGCCTGCCTTTGATTTACAGATTTCTTCACCAACCACCGGCCCCCGTCAACACCTGTGAGCTTCCCAGAGCCCCCCAGCTTTAGCCCCATGGCTGACCCTCTGTTTAGTGGCGGGTTCCTGACACCAGAATCCCCTGCCACCCCGCCAGGAGTGCCCCTCCTCCTGGGCAGCCGCTTACAGGTGAGTGTTAGTTCCCACCTCCTCTCCAGCAATCCCCCCCCCACAACATCTCAGTCTTTAATGTCTTGATACTCAAGACTTGTTCATTCAGTTAAGTGGCCCAGTGGGGGCAGGAAGACCTGAGTTCAAATCTGGCCTCAGGCACTTCCTAGCTATGTGATCCTGGGCAAGTCACTTCACCTCTGTCTTCCTCAGTTTACCCATCTGTAAAGTGGTGACTCCCTCCCAGAGCGGTTGTGAGGATCAGATGAGATCACAATTGTAAAGCACTTAGCCCAGTGCCTGACACATAGGAAGCACTATAGAAATGTTTGCTCTTCTTATCGATTATTATCATTATTCATGTAGCCTACAAGCCCCATCCTTGGCTAGACCATTGGGGAGCCAGGAGGAGACCCACGCTCCAGTCCTGAGGAGCTCACAGTCTGAGAAGAAAAGACTTCCCCACGTTATCAATCATATGAAACAATTAAATAAGATACACTATAAAAAAGACAGTCCCTAGGTGGTCCAGACAGTGCTGGAGGAAGTCAAATACCATCCTCACAAGCTGGGGCAATCCCAGAAGGCTTCCTGGCGTGGTGGAACTTGAACTGAGCCTTGAAGGATGGCATGATATGGATAGGGAGAGATTTAAAGAAGGGAGGTATTCCAGGAAGTGGGAAGAGTGTGAGCAAGGTTATGGAGGCTGGAATCAGCAAGGCATGTCTGGGGAACAGAAGTCAAACTCATTTGTGGAGTGCTCAGCTATTTACAAAGCATCTTTTCTCAACACAATCCTATTAGGTCAGTGGTTCTGGGATCATCATTCCCATGTTGCAGATGAGGATACTGAGGTCTGAGGGGATCAATGATTTGCCCAGGGTCATAAAGCCAGGAAATCAGAGCCAAATCTTGACAATGAGGAAAAAGTGGGCTGCAGAGGGCTTAGAATGTCAGGCCACCGAAGCTTGGAGCACTGCAGGAATATGGGCAGCCACCCGACCCACTGTTCTTCACACACGGTGCTCTATCTCCCATCACCATGCCTTTGCAATTGCTGTCCCCTATGCCTGTAATGCCCTCCCTCTCCAAATTCTCGGCTTCCTTCAAGACTGAGCTCAAGGGGCAGCTACATGGCTGGCGCAGTGGATAGAGCACCAGCCCTCGAGTCAGGAGGACTTGAGTTCAAATCCAGCCTCAGACACTTGACATTTACTAGCAGTGTGACGCTGGGCAAGTCACTTAATCCCATTGCCTAGGCCAAAAAAAAAAAAACCAAAACAAACAAAAATAAAAAACTGAGCTCAAGCCCCACCTTCTGCTGAAGGTCCTTCTTCCAGCTCTTCTGTATGTATCTGCCCTAGACTTAGAGGTGTACATGTCATCTCCCCCTTGGGAATGTAAGCTTCTTGAGGGCAGGCACTGTTTGTGCTTCTTTTTTTTATGTCTAACACTTAGCACTTAATAAATGCATGTTCCTCTCGCCCCTTCCCTTGGACACAAGAGACGAGACAAGAAACAACTTTGGGAGTTGTTACATTATAGGCAAGAGGTTATGAGGGTCTCAACAAGGGTGATGGCCGTGGTAATGGGAAGGAGAGGACTCAGTCATTCAGCAAGCATCTATTAATCACCTCCTATGTGCCAGGCATGGTGTGAGGTCCTAGGGGTATGAAGACAAAAAATGAAACTTTCTCAGAGAACTTCCATTCTGTCAGCTCGGGGCAGCAAAGTGTAATGGAGAGTCACACGGTGCTGGCCTCACTATCAGCGAGAACTGGGTTCAAATCCCATCTCAGACACTTATCTGGGCCATCCTGGGCAAATCATTTCATCTCTCTGAGCCTTGTTTTCCTCCTCTGTAAAATGAAGGGGTTGGACCGGACAGCCTCTGAGGTCCGTTCCATCTCTAAAGCCATGCTCCTGTGATCCCAAGTCACTCTGAGCCTCAGTTTACTCATCCATAGAGCTCTTGTTCATTCCTGACCCTGGTACTTCCATAGCCCTTCCTCTCTGACCTGTGCTCAGGACCAGTGACACCACCTCCTTCCCACTTTGCACTTTGACCGTTCCTTTGTCTTACTGGGCTGTTATCTATTTTGTAAACCCATAGGATCCGTCCTTCCCTACTCAGAGACTGCAGCTGTCCCCAGGGCCAGGAGCCTGTCCTCCCCGTTGGTGACATCCCTCAGAAGGTCATTAGCCTGGGGGTTTCCAAAGGGCAGAATTGTGTCTCCTTCTTCTTTCCCTTCATTGTGCCCAGCATGGAGCTCTCCAGGAAAGTTGCTCATGAGTGCAAGAGCATTGTGCGGAAGAGGGCTCACTTAGCTACTAAGCTTTCTGTCCATCTTTCAGGCCCGGAGCAGCTGCTCTGGACCCCCGGACTCACCTGCTTTCCTGAGCCCTGACTTCCTCCTGCCAGAAGACCCCAAGGCCAAATCCCCCCAGTCCCTCCTCCATTTCCCTACTCCCACCAAGGTGCCGGGCCTGGAGCCCTGTCCCTCTACTCCCTTCTCCCCTCTGGCCCCTTCCCCTCTCCTGATGCAAGAGGACTCCCTATACCCACCCAGGTTTCCTTTCCCTAACACAGCACCCCCTTCAGCAGTCTCCCCACTCCCCACCCCCACAAACTTCCCACCCACCCACCCCAATACTGGCCCCTCCCCATCCCCTTTCCCCCTGGAGCTCCTTCCTTCAGGATACCCAGAGCCCTGCTGTGGGCCCCAATTTGCCATGCCCCGCCCACGGCTCAAAAGCAAGCCTCCAACACCGGTCCCTCGTGTTCGAAGGCCCAGCCCCCCAGCCTTGGCTGGGGGGTCCAACCCCTGTCTTACACAGCTGCTCACTGCTGGTAAGGGGGGGGTCTGGGAAAATCGGAGAGAGGAAGTAGCAGGGATGGGGGCAAGAAGTAAAGTTGATGGAAAGGGAGTTGGAAAAGTGGAGGAGCTAGAAGGGGCAGGGACCCCAACTTGGGAGCCCTGAGTGAGCTGTTGAAGGGATGCAGAGGGAAAAGGCTGGAGGATTCAGCTGGGGTAGGAGCTGTGGGGAGGGGGGACAATCAGGAGCAGAAGGAAGAGGGGGATGAGCCACCCCAAGGGTTAGTTCTGGCTGCTTGGGGCAGAGAAAGCTGCCCTGAGCCGAGCCCAGCGGACCCTGGTGAGAGAGTGAAGACAGGTGAGGCCGGGGGCAGTGAGGAGGGCGGCAGTGAGGCAGGGGGCAGTGAGGAGGGCAGCAGTGAGGCAGGGAGCAGTGAGGAGGGCGGCAGCGATGAGGGGGCAGTGAGGAGGGGGCAGTGAGGAGGGCGGCAGCGAGGAGGGCGGCAGCGAGAAGGGCGGCAGCGAGGAGGGCGGCAGCGAGGAGGGGACAGTGAGGAGGGCAGCAGTGAGGCAGGGGGCAGTGAGGCAGGGGGCAGTGAGGAGGGCGGCAGTGAGGCAGGGGGCAGTGAGGAGGGGGCAGTGAGGAGGGCAGCAGTGAGGCAGGGGGCAGTGAGGAGGGCAGCAGTGAGGCAGGGGGCAGTGAGGAGGGCGGCAGTGAGGCAGGGGGCAGTGAGGAGGGCAGCAGTGAGGAGGGGGCAGTGAGGCAGGGGGCAGTGAAGAGGGCGGCAGTGAGGAGAGCCCTGGACAGGGGCTGGCCGGGATCTCTCACACCTGGCTGCTTGTCCTCCTCTTCAGCCAAACCAGAACAAATACTAGAAGCACCGCTCCCCTCGAGCACTGCTCTCAGGCCTTCTGGATCCCCGGTAAGAGCGGCCCCGGGGGGCCCGGCTGCCCAGCCAGACAGAGGGGGAGAGTCCATGCAAGTGCATGAAGGGGTTCTCTTCCCTCCTCCTCATCTGTCTTCCAGAAGCCAGGACCTCCTGATTTCCCCTGTGTCTTCTACTCCCCACCTGTGGCTCAGTCCCAGCCTCAACCCACCCTGACCCCTGTAACACTGGCTCCTCCTGGACCCTTACTGGTACCCAAAGCAGAGCGGCTTTCACCTCCAGCACCTGGTGAGGATGAGTAGAGGGGATGAGGTTGGTGCCAAGGGAAGGAAAAAGAGTATAGTTACTGAATGAATGAATCACTGAATGGATGAACGAATGAATAAATGAAAAAGCATTTAGTAAGCACTTACTCCGTGCTAGGCACTGTGCTAAGTGCTGGAGATCCAAATAGAAAAAGCAAGTTGGCCTGCCCTCAAGGAGCTTACATTCTAAGAGGGAAACAGCACATATAGGGAAGTAGTGGCCAGGGAGGGTCAGGGAAATCATAGATATAGTAAGGAAAGAATGTAGGAGATGGGGATGGAAAGAAGCAACAGAGTGAGGGTCTATATCCAGATGCTGAGACTTGTAATAATACTCTGAGCATGGCTGTCTTCTGTCTCCATTGTAGGGAATGAGCGGCGTCTGTCTGGGGAGCTGCCCCCCATGCCTGGCCCAGTGGGGCTGGGCACGCGGATCTCTCCCCCACAGCCCACTTTGGGCAGAGGACGCCTGGACAACAACAAGGTGGGCCTACCTCCCCCTCCTGCCCGCCTTTCCCTTTCCCAGGCCTCCTCTCTCCAGACACCCTCCCATTAGCCCTGGCCCATCTCCTACAGACAGAGAACCGACGCATCACTCATATCTCGGCGGAGCAGAAGCGACGTTTCAACATCAAACTGGGATTTGACACTCTGCATGGGCTGGTGAGCACACTCAGTGCCCAGCCCAGTCTTAAGGTGAGTGAGTCCCCCACAGTGGGTAGTGCCCAACCTGGACACCCCAAGGAGGAAATGGCGGCCTAGGGAAATGGTCTTTTCAAGGTCACTCAGGGAGTAAGTGTCAGAGGTGGTGAGATTAGATCTTAGATCCTCTAATGCCAGAACCAAGTTTCTTTCCACCTAACCATTCTGCCTCTAATCTGCTGCCATGCCTGATTGTTTCTTCCTCCCAAATGCTGCTCACACCTCCCTCATACTTGGCATTAGTGTTGCCATGATCCTAGTGGAAATCTTCGTTATCTCTAAGCTGGCCTACCGTAATAGCCTCCTAGCTGTTCTCCCTGCCTCTGTGCCTCCCATCTCCCTCCCATCCATCCATCCATTCATCCATCCATCTATCCATCCATCCATCCATCCATCCATCCATCCTTCCTTCCTTCATCTATACATCCATCTATCCATCTATTCATCCTTCCTTCCTTCACCTATACATCCATCCATCCATCCATCCTTCCTTCCATCCATCCATCCATCCTTCCTTCCTTCCTTCATCTATACATCCATCTATCCATCTATTCATCCTTCCTTCCTTCACCTATACATCCATCCATCCATCCATCCGTCCGTCCATCCATCCATCCTTCCTTCCATCCATCCATCCATCCTTCCTTCCTTCCATCCATTCATCTATCCATCC